AAATGCAAGCATGTTCGGGATGCGGTTCTCATCCTCGAAATGCAAAATGTTGCTTCAAGATTGGGTTTCATAGGCACCTGAACTAGTGATAGGGAGTGAAGTAGACGAGTGCATAGACCACTTTACTTATCTTGGGAGTCTCATCAGTGCTGACTGGTGGCCTGGTGACTGACGAAATCTCAGCTCGGATACAGAAGGCTCGATTGGATTTTGCCAACCTGCGTCACCTATGGTGCAGGCGAGATATCCGTTTGCTAACCAAAGGACGAGTGTACTGCGCAGTAGTTCACTCCGTCCTAATTTATGGCTGTGAAACATGGCCAGTCAGAGTAGAAGATACTCGTAGGCTACTGGCTTTCGATCATTCGTGCCTCCGAAGAATTGCTCGAGTATCCTAGAACTATCGAGTAAGCAATACTGTTATTAGGAAACGGATGCTACGTAAGGATGGCAGGTCAATAGATGAAATATTGGAACTTGATCAGTTGATGTGGTTGGGACATGTGTTACGAATGCCTAACCACCTACTGCCTCATCGCGCTATATTTTGTGGTGTTGGAATAGGTCGGACACAAGCTAGAGGTGGCCAAACCAAAAACATGGCAGTCATCTATGAAGTCATCGACAAGTGGACTGAGTCATGTTGGTAGTTGTCGACTACCTGGTTGAGGTCCGCTGGATGTTAGTAATCGATGCTTAGAGACCTTGAATGACGTGGTGCTATACCGTTTGCAGTGGCGCAGGTGCATTCATTGTTTGTGTTCTTTCAAATACCGAACTTTTTAATTCATCACTTTATCTTTTTAAGTTTATTTCACTAGATTCTACTTCTTGAATAATATCTTCTAATCCTAAACTCTCCAACTACTGCTAATACCTTTACTACCTCTACCACTATTGGATTTGAACTGACAATTACGTCTCTGTGTTAATTTGGTATGGCAACATGAACTGATGTACTTACGTACGAAGTTCTATCTTACTACTGATTGACTGAATCAACCAATCACTCAATATAACATCATGATTTGGAATACTAGTTTCTCGATAGGATAGTGGAATTCATACTACACTGCGACAATTTTATAAAAGTAAGAAACCATATATCTAATATACGACTATTAGTGGCCTCAGTTGAAATTAAAGTTTTATTGATATATATATGAAACAACTTTCTATCAAAGACTGGTTAACGTATTCAATTGGGTAATATGTTTTCAAGTTAGAGTTAGAGTTCTTAACTGAAAAAAATATTCAGAATGAAAATCTATGTAAAGATTGCTCTCGTAAGGAAAGTTGAAGGAACATATTATATCATAAAAATCTTCCAGCATATTAGACTTAGTAACTTCGAAATGGTAATTAACAACCAGCTTATAAGTGATGGAGAATAGTCGCAGTTTTCAAGTTGACATGGTTGAGGATGTGTTCCAAGATCTGTACAGTTTAATTCTGAAGCATTTATTTCTAACCTAAACAACATCATACATTTTTGGCATAGTAGTCAAGCTTCAACCAATAAACATTTTGAAAGTAACTTAATCTACTAGTCAATCAGAAAAAAGATTGATCATTGAATAGGGAAACTTCAAATCAGAATAAACATTTGACCAACAAGCACACATTTGTGCATAAAAAACTAATCAACTATCAGATCTGCGTATCAAACTTTAAGTCATTTGTAGAATATCTATTAGTTTTTTCTTTCTCTGAAGTGATTATCCTATAGGACAGAGAAAACATCAAAATTAAACGATCCATCTGAGAGAACACAGTGCCCACCCCACAGCGGACAGTTAACAATAATATTTGATCAGTTGGTTGAAATTGATGAGTTTTATGTTGAGTACTCGGTCAGAGTTCCATTCATTGATCAACAACTTGAGACACTTTACCTGATGTTGATTCACTCCTACTTATAGCCATTTATATAACACCAGTTAATAACTCATTTGACAGTTTCGATAATTTCATACTTCATATAGGATTAAAATTTACGTAAATGATTTAAAATAGAAACAACGACCCTAGTTTATAGTATAACTTTTTTTCGAAGATTTGTAAGAAACGTACTTAATTTTAAATTTGATATGAACAAAAATTCAACTTAACTACGTAATAATATTGAAATTTAAGGATTCTTTTTAAAAATTTAACATGTCAGTTTGATATTTATCAAGTAATAATTATTTTGATATTTCAAAGACTATTTCCAATCAATGTTATTATGTCCAACTTATTAAATTACTTATGAATTGACATGTAGATAATAAACTACGTCAAAATCGAAATTATGGTATTTTACTTGAAAGAAAATTTTATTTTATTTGTTATGTGATTGACAGTTATTAATTCAAATGATAAAATAGAGATATTTCTTTAAAGTCATTTTCTAACTGCTTATCAATTATTCTATAAAAATTACCGATTCATTGTTTAAGCCTACACATTATTAATTTGTCTAATGTTTCACCGAATTCATCGAACGTTTTCCGCTTTCTCTCTCTCTTTTTCATGGGTTGTTGTGAATAGAGAATGTTATGACGGAACACTAATCAACAAGCGATTTATAAGTTTAAGCATACTCGGTCGATAGTTTACTCATAGTTGTATAAGATTTACACAAATTGTTCCTGATATTAACTTATTTCACTTATTTTCAGTTGGAGTTATGGAGTTTAACAGTTTTACACATATGAAATCATCAATTATTCATTGTTAGACCACCATTAGAAAACTGGGGGCACAAGGCAACCATTTCGTCTTGGTATGGGACTCATCAGCAGTGCGCATCCACGACTCATGCTACACGCAGGATTCAAACCCGGGACCTTTGGTCTTGTGCACGAACGCCTAACTTCTGGACCATCCGACGGTGTTAATGTCTAACTCTTATTGATCTAGGGATTTTGCGTGACCTCACCCATTTGTCTTTGGTAGTTACTGCCTACACCCTGTCAGGGTTGAACTCCACTGGTCACTTATATATACACATATATATATATATATATATATATATTTGGATTGATAAACCATAGATATCAAGGTAACAAAAATTAATGATAACTGTAATAAATCAGCACTTTGTTTTTTTTTCATTTTGTCAACATTTATACTGATAACTACGTGTCCACACACAGTCAAACACAAACGGAAGTAGACACTAAACAAAAAAATAACATTTCTTTTCATGATTTAAAGCAAAGAAATGATTTATTGTTAGTATGGTACATAATATTTCCGTATTCAACTCAGGTGGCCCTACCATTCTAATGATATTTACGTTAATATGTAATATATGAAGGCTAAATACTATCTATCATATATGTTATTGTTCGATTTCTGTTTTTTTTTTAAATTCTTTCCTTCTTTTCTGATCTGACGAAGTCGATGAGTAGAATATAACGAAACAGAACTTACATACTATTCATAGTATATATTGAGTTATTAGTTCGGTTAACACTTTAAGATACATTGAGAAATTGAAAAAGAAGTTTGCAGTAGTTATGTAAGTATATACATATTGTAATTAGAAAGTAGAAAGTATCTGTAGTGGTATAAAGAACAAGAGAAAGATGGCTCAGTGAAGTAACCTCTTATCAATGCTTCCATTCTCAAAGCCAGACAAATTTACACTCTGTTATACGATGTTAAACAATAATATGCACGCCTTTAGTATTACTCGATATTTACTCATAGCCGATTTAAATCCTTGTATAGTAGTACTTACTATTTTATTCTGTTCGTCATTATTGTTTCCCAGGCTGAAGACATTTATTAAAGTATGTTGTAAGTTTGATGTGATTATGAAAATGGTTATGACTGAGGATTTGAAATCTTGCTTTCTTTCATCTTATACTAAACATCCTTACGGTTCTCAACTTTTTTTTTATCGTAAAACTTCTGTTAGAGCAAGATGCAGTTATATTAGAAACCATGTATGCAGCGAAAAGTATTAAAGCTCTACATTACCCACCCTATCTGGCGTATATACTTTATGATGGAGCCGTTTTAAGAGCTGACTTTATAGAATGTCTTTATTCATGTAGCATTTCTTAGATTGATTACACTACGCTCACGACACTTTTATTTCCTTACTGAATGTAAACTCGGTATACAAGTAGGGTGAAAGAAAATTTTTAAAATATTGTAAGCTTACAGTCCCATATTTTATCAAACACAGAATATTGAAGGAAACCTTAATTATAATTATTTTATTATTCGTAGAGCACTAACGAAATAGTACAGTTCACAAAAGCATATAAATATCCTAAGCTTATTATTACACTAAAAATTCAGTTATTAAGAAATCATTCACCAAAGTAAGTTTACTCCACAAACCTTGTAAATTAGGAAGCTGATTGAGACAAATAATGTGAGTTATTTAGATATATGAGAAACCCTTTGTGAATGCGATAGTATACCGCTCTTCGTACATTTCTATGAATCTTTCCAATGACTCAGTATGCTTAAGCCGTTTTGATCCAGTGGTCATTACCCTCAAAATCCTTTATCACTAGACTTCGTGTAGATCTAATTCTCCTTTATTTAGAACATAAAGGGTGGTGCTTTTTAAACCTCCTTGATAGGATGTGCATCAAATGACCTATAATTTATTTATCGATTACATAACTTTGAGGATGTATTTTTTGAGAAAATTCCTCTCTGCTGAACCATTGTTCATTAGTTAACAAATTATAAAATCTACTAAATGCTTTGGTCAGTTTATTCTTCCAGCTCCTTAACACTCATGAATAAGATAAAGCTGAAATTCAATAAAAATGATATGTCCATGTCATTAGCGATAAAATGCTAGTCAAATTTTAAACAATCCCACATCACAATATAACAAATATCTGTTACATTGGTGAGTGAAACTTGGAAAATTATAGGTTTATTGGAATACCAAGCATCATATAAGTGCAAAAGAAAATTATTAAGATTTCAGAGGTTACTTGTAATTTTTAAGTAGTATAAAATAATTTACTAAATATACTAACCTGTGATAGTTACTCTCCACGTTGAATTCAATTCACAATTTGTATCCAATCTTTTATTAGATATTCGTATATCTGAATTCAGTCGACCGATTTGTTCAGCAAAATGCTTGCTAACATTGGGGATATTCATTTCATCATTGTTTTCGTTAGGTTTTGATTGTTTAAATGTTAATCCATTTAGACAAACAGCAGTGTATAATAATGAATCATTGATTTCTATATTTAAGTTTCATGAAAAGAGATATTGAATATTCATAAGCTTGATTGATATAAATAATGGCTAAGTAAAAGTTTAAAGTTTATAAGTGACTCACTAACTCCTACATCTCTAAATCTCATTGAAGAGAAATACCACTAGATTTATCATGCCCCCAACTAGAGTGAAATCTCCAACAATACTATAACTTGAATTGGAAATGCATAAATGGTTAATCCATTACACAGAACTAGTATGAGATGTAATGATTGAGGGACGATTGGTGGGTTTTTAGACTTATCACGTTCATTTCAGGTTTATTTTCGTAATAAGAGTAGTTGCTTATTTTCTTTCCGAGATATTAGAAAACACATAAGATGGATGTAAACTTAAAGTGATCATTTAACCTTATCAAACTTATCTTAGTCTCATAGCTGTGTTACTGCTGGCTATTACTGTTAGGATATTCATTCAATATCCTAAGAGAATTATTGGTCAATTCGTATTGGTTCATTCCTACTGGTCAATTTTATGGTCGTCCTAGATTTCAATGTCACATACTACAATGTTGTTTCTTATTGTTTGTTCTGACTATCAATGTCACTTCAAATGTTGCTTCCTATTGGTCGTCTTAACTGTCAATGTCACACACTTCGATGCTGTTTCCTATTCGACCGAAATGTATAAATACACATGATCTGTAACGTTTTATGACCACGACCAGGACCAAGGCTCGGTCCTGGATCCCTAGTCCGGGATCCTGATTCTCTTCTGGAATCGGACCTCGTACTTTCTGAATGCTTGTAGAATACATGTTATACTTCACATCACGTCTTCTTATTTTTACTAAATATGGGGGTTGGAATAATCGGATTTGAGTAGCATGTCGTGTCGCTGGATCCTCGATCCTAGCTCTCGTTTACGACTAAGGTAAACTCGTAATAGTTCAAGTATATCGAGTTGACGTGTTTACGTGCAGGCGTAACAATTATCGATCGTATTCTGTTATATGCCTGTGCATTCTATGTGCTTCCTTATTCGTCAGTTCATATTGTTTTTCTCCTCTAAATTATGTTGTTCTCACAGCTCTGCGAACACACTTGATAAAACTTGTGATAACAAAAAATCTGCTATACAAAAAGGTTTTTTTGAGAATTCTGTGTCTCATTGCGTTACTGTGATCATCTTACTGATGGTCAGTAAATTTTATCAGTATTGACTTCAATAAAACAATTAAATATAATGATTTTACAAAATTTGATTAGTTACTTTTAAACGGTTGAAAGCTAACTGTAGAAGTATTCGAAACTACATTCTTAATTGGTTAGCACATATCAACTAGATGGATTTACGGTATGGATTAAATTGACTACCATCAGTTTAGAAGCCACATCCACATATGTAAAAAATAATAATAGACCATTAAATCACTGTGGTTTTGACAGAAAGTCTGTTGAACTAGGAGTAATAGGGATTATTAGGTCTTTTTCTTTTAATCTTCAGTATGGTTCAAAATTTATCGTTTGGAAACTATATCGTTAACCTGGATTTAAAATATTTATTTAACAGAACAATGCGAACAAAGAGTTGATCTGAAAAATGTGATCTATTTGCACTTCAAATTTTGAAAAATCTTGTCACAAAGACACTTTTAAATGCAATATTGTGCTCGTCAATTGATATGCTTTAATACTATTACGAAATCACCATAGTCAGTAAACGAGAGCGAAGACAAATGATCCACTGACACTATAAGCTATTCTGATTCGATTGTCCCTGGCCCTGCTTGAAGTCTTGACTCACTAAAATGCGGATTCAGGCAAGGAGACCTTTCTCTTCCAGGCTGAGATTACTCAGCTTATGAGTTTGATTACCAACACTTTCTACTCTAATAAAGAAATATTTCTCCGCGAGTTGATTTCTCATGCAAGTGACGCTTTGGACAAAGCAAGGTATACCAGTCTGACTAACCCGTCGTTTCCTGATACGGGAGATGATCTGTACATCAAACTGATCCCAAACAGAGTCTGGGTCGTTAGCTGTGCTGGATACTAATAATCGGGATGACTAAGGCAGATTTAGTTAAGTGTCTGGGGACGGCTGCCGCTTCCGGCACGAAAGCATTTATGGAGTATCTGCAAGTAGGTGCTGACATATCCATGACTGGTCAATTTGGTGTGGGTTTCTACTCTGCCTACTTAGTCGCTGATCGAGTGCAAGTGGTGACGAAAAATAATGACGACGACCGGTACGTCATCTGAGAGTCATCTGCTGGTGGTTCTGTTACTATTGCACCAGATAATAGTGAGATGCCGAAACGTGGCATTAAGGTTATACTGCACTTTAAGGAGGATCAGATGGAATTTCTTGAAGAGAGAAAACTCCGTGATATAGTAAAGAAGCACTCTCAATTCATTAACTATCCCATCAAATTAGTTGTCGATAAAGAACGAACCAAAGAGGTGTCAAAAGTTTTGCTATGGCGTAGAAAGTGTATTCTATAAGCACACAGAAAATGTGAGGTTCTCAGTCACACAAATCGAGTTTATTTATTCTTGAAAGAAACGTCCTCGGGAGAGTCACAAAAATAGCTTGCCGAATACCAATACCAGTTAAGGATTTTTCGAGTGGGAAATGTAATTTCAAGGTCAAATGATCAGCCCATGAATAAAATTCAAAAATTAGTACTTTTATCTAGTATGTTCTGGGGATCTAATGGTCAATTAAAAAAGTATTAAAGTAACCACAAGGTGATTATTGTAAATAAATGAGAGAGAAGATTAACGTAGTATGAAAAGAATAAAAAATTGTCGCATTGCCCTAGGCTCAAAGATTACCAGTGTATATTCAAGGTTACGACGGATTGTTTTATTACATACAAAGGAGTTTTAATTTGTGAAAGTTCAAGGCTTCTACAATCCTAAGAATTCCTTCTTGACAATTTCTATGCAACGTTTCAAGGGCTGTATTCATGCTTTAAGTCCCTGTCTTAAAATCAAACGGTTCGATTCACTTTTGAATGGTAGAGAGATATACACACTTTTATTTTCATTCAAATTAACGAAAGGTTTTTGTATGAACTGACCTTTACGCCTACATGTAGACTTAAGTGGATTACCGTTTAAACTTAGCATTTCAGTAAAGAGTTAAGCATCTTACTCAACGAAATCTGTAGTACATATTCATTGTTCACTATTACAGATGCATTCTACAAAGTTTTGCCTGTGTTTCAGTGAACAAAAACTGTGGAAACTGAAATATCATTCATTCTAGATCAGTTTCCTATAAAATGACCACTTCGTAGTTACATCCTCTCTTCAACTTAACACTACCTCTAAAAAGGATAACCGATTAACTACTTTCTTCTTGATAGGTTAGTACAATATCATTCTATCAACGACTGAATTCATTTAATTAGTGAGCAACACTGAAATCTTTATCACATTTTCACTACTACTAAATCCATACATCTCATGTACATAGTTAACTGACTAATGACTAGAATGTTAAGAACATATATCCCCAATAAATCATATTTTCAGATCAACTCCATCTTCCCATTGTTCTACAAAAATTTTAAGAAAAGAAATTAACTACTTTAATTTCTAAGTAATATATTTTTTAACCGTCCAGAAATTTAAATAGGGAAACAGTATCTTTTCTTAGTCTTTTCTAACTAATTGCATGACATTTCAAAAATGTATTAACTTACGTGATTTTATTTCAATGGTTGATCTTTTCTGTGAATTTTTCAATGTATACAGGAATGTATTCGTTGTAGTTTTTTGTGGAATGGATGTGATTCCGATTGGGACTTTAGTATTTTCTAAATAGATTGGTTGTGCACGATGAATATGACTTATGTTGACTTGACATGTTTGATTGCCCCAATTCGCAGTACTGTATTGAAACGGTCTAGAAAACTGAGAAAAAAGCCGTTTATTAAGGGATGGATCTTACTGAAAATAAAATTAGAAATAACTACAATATATAGTCGATGAGTAGCTGAATTTACTAAAACTTTTTAATTTATTTTTTTTCTGAAAACAGCTATCAACTAGTTTATAGCTAGTACTTGAAGGATACTCGATGCGAAAATTCCCTGATGACAAGAATAAGGTCGCAAAGCTTATATCATGCGTGTTTGTTGACTTTTTGTTATGAATAACAGTTAATTGCGAATCTCATCTTTAACTCATTATTCTAATACTGACAACCAAAACATTTCCATACAGTACAAGGAAAAATATGGAGATGCTTTAGTTGTTTTGATCGACATTTTGTACGGAACCAGATACTTACTAAATTGATTCCGTAGATCGATTTCACTGAAGCATGTAGCATTACCGTCGAGAATTGTTCATTTAATTTCTCTATTAATAGAATGACTCTGAATACTTTTGAAAAATTGTGTGCTATTTTATAGATATCTGATATGCTCATCATTTAGTATGCTTGAACTATTCCTAGTTCACCTTAGTCGGTAAACGGAGCGAAGACCAATAATCCAAGGACTCGGTAGGTCATTCTAACCCATTGCCCCGGCCGGTTAACTATATCAGGAAGTCTTGATAAGGCGTAGAAAGTGGAGACTACAATTACCAAAAAATATGAGTTTGAAAAGCATACAAATGGAGCTCATTTATACATGATAGAAACATCTTTGGGAGAGCCACAAAAAAATTGTACCAAAACAATCCACCAACAAATGAGAGTCAAGGATTTTCCGAGTGGGAAATGTAAGTCAACTAAGCAGCTTATGCGCGAAAACCTAAAAAATCCAAAATTAGGAACTTTTCTAAGTGAGTTGTGGGGATCTAACGTCCCCAACAATATCATTTAATTTAAAATAATAGACTAGTCGTCGTTCATGGTCTAGACAAATGTTCACATATTAAGATAAGTTCCTACTAGTAAAAAAAAAGCTGCAGCCATTACCTAACAGGTTTTTAGTATATGCCATTGTACTACTTATATAATTTAAGTAGTTAAACAAATTTATTTAACGGTCGATTTGTGAATCATGAATACGAGAATATGTTCGAGACTTTATTACAGTTTACTATCATCAGTTCATAATTAATATTTTTGATATAGTGGTGATATAAGTTACAAATAATCGTAGGAATTTCGATCCAACTTTTTAAATATGATTTAAAAATCTGTTAGCCTACGTTTCTTGGATTCCTAACTGAATTTCCATGCTAACACAATGAATCAAGAAATGTTTAGATATTTTTGGAGTTTTATTTACAGTTCGGTTGCTAAGTTAAAATACTTGCATCGGTTCTTCGAGGTCAATAGTCAAATATACAATAACTTTTTTAATTTATTATCGACAATAAATTTCCGTCTATATTTTTTAAACTTTTTATCATGCAATGTTAGTTCATGATTAAATGACGATCGATTTTTAGTAATCGCTTAAAAATGATTTGTGAAATATAATTTAATTACTTTATTTCATCATGAATTGTCCTTAGAAGTTTGGAGAATTTCTAAATACTATTATTCATGGGAAGTTACCAGACTAATCAATCTTTAAACGATAGTAATATTGTTGGTGAATGAAACTAGTCAAGTAATTAATATTTAATTGGGTTCAAAATAAACAGAAGTTCGATACAAACATCCACTTTAGACAAAATCAGACTGACATATAGTGAAAAATGAATCTTTTATGGGGTTGTGGACTTTGGCGAGTTACTTATTGAAATCATAAATCAATCATTGTTGAACCACCATTAGAAACCTGAAAGCACTAGACGACCGTTTCATCCTGGTGTGGGACTCATCAGCAGTGAGCATCCAAGACATCTGTGCCTTGTAGGATTCGAACTTAGGACCTTCGGCTCAGTGATCTAGAGGTTAGTAGTTTGCACACAAGACCGAAAGTTTAAATAAGTGGTGTAGATGTGATTAGTTTTCCTGTAAACTGTTAAACGAAATGTGCTGTTTATCTGATTAGTTCAACTTTTGATAACCACTATGATTTACAGAAATATAAATTTCATAAGTGATTTTTTATGTTAAAATTTAGAGAATGAATTGACTAGTTATAGTAAACTAAAACTAATTTGATTAATGAGCTGGAGCAGTAGATTCGGTGATTTTGTTTACAATAGACGGAAACACTTTAAAGGCAGAAAATATTTGATATAACCGCAACAATGATCACACTTTGCCCAGAACCAGTGAGTCGTAGTTCGCTTTTTTATGCTTGATTGCTGTCTATTTCATATACGGTTATGCTTAAATTGTTTATAGGAATAATTGTAACAACGATGAGCATTAGGGTAATTTATAGCTGATGCTAGGAGGTGTTTCCGTCTTCAGATATGCACTACTGTTTGACATATTTTATTATTTAGCCGGCTTCCATATAATTTGGTTGATTATTTAAACTAAATAAGAGTATAAAACTATCATGAGCTTAATACAGGAACATCTGATCAGTTCGGGAAACGTTATTACTACGGTGTTGTCATTTAAAGTAATATACACAGTTAAAAGAATTGAATCAAAAACTGCTGAGGCGTTAGCAGTCTGTCACTTCAAGCCTCAACTCTTCATGCTGTAACGGTATGTCCAACCTCTCATACTTTCTTGTCCCTTCTCCAGTATGTTTGTGAACTTGTTTTCTTCTCCATCAGTTTTCAGTTGTGATTATGACCGTGTTTTTCAATTTCTATATATTTGTTATGTGGACAATTATCTCTAAAATATCTGACCTGTAAACCATTCTCACTCCCTATTCTCACTACTCTTTTGATACTTGGAATCTCGGATCACTTTTCGATGCGATCTTTACTATCATACTGTAGACTTATATATTTATCAAACAACTATAAATAAGATTAGTTACTTACCTGTACAATTATGTATTTCTCTTCTTTGTGTCTTTGAAGTGTAAGAGGTTCATTACCAAAATCTTTCAAAAATTTCAACTGAAATAATGATATTTCTTTGTCAACAGATCTATGAACAATCGCATCATTCCATATAGGTAAATCTGTCTTATGCTCTAAATGAATATTTCCATTCCATAATAATAAAATACCATGTTTTAGAAATTGTTTATTTACAGTTTGAATAGAATCATCCAATTTGTGTGATTTCCTTTTTGGATGGTTTTTGTTATTCATTAAATGAACGCTATATTTTAAACGAGGAGTATTCCAAACTAGTTTTGGTGAACTTCGTATTTCAAGCGTTAACCAAGTCTCAATAGTGTATACGATTTGTGGTGGGCGATGTTGCACATGACAAGTATAAGTTTCATTCGTAAAATCAAATTCAGGATTCAATGTAAATTTTAATGTTTTACCTAAACGGAATGAAGTAATGAGAAATTTGTCATATTCTCTATCTGTAATATACAGTTTACTGTGTTCATACACTATCAAACTAGGCATTTTAAATAATATATATTAGACTAAGCCAAATCTTATAACAGGCACACATAAACACATCCTTTCACTCGAAAAATTATAGCTGATAATCAGTAGACAGCCAGAATAATGGTTACAAAAATCATTCATAAGATCAATTATATGACTAGTATACTATTCACTCTGTTATACCTTATTTTTTTCATTTACTCAGTTTGTTAGTATGTAATGTTACATAATCCTTAGTAAGTTCATATATCCAAATGTATCCAACTAAAAAATTGGTTATTTTTATTTTTGCTATTGACTAATCATCTTTAATCTTTTCTGATTCTCATTGACAGAAACCTTCATGTTCCTATCTGAAAGGAATCATATCAATATCTAGCTAGCTCTCTGACCTTTACTCAATTATAGGTTAAGCATTAGAGCGCATGACCGTAGGTCTTGGGTCTGACTCCTGTGAGTAGCACACTATTGATGAGTCTCATAGCAAGATGAAATGGCCGTCTAGCCCTTCCAGGTTTCTTATAGTGATCTAAAAATAACTCATTCATGATTTAAAGTTAAAACTATAATCACTATTATACTTTAATGCAAAATATCATTAATTAGTTTGATGATTTGTTTGTCCGCATGGATATCAACCTGAATATCTACAAGAAATATTTTTCGTCGCATTGATTATTTCATATAAATCAGCTTGAATATGGCTTTTTCGAAATGAAATAACCGAAAATAGAATTATCTTTATTGAATTATTTGTCTTAACTTCTAGTTAGTTTAGTCAGACTGTATTTCTTGTCTGATAAAATAAAAAATACTTGAACAAATTGAAATTTCACCTTGTAAGCATATTTCAGTTGCATTGGAATGTCTACTTGTATACGCTTCACATCGATAACCGAAGTAATCAAGGCAACTTGGACTGGAATAACATTGAATACCACAACAATCCGGATCTGTATAATAAAAGACAGTAATATTATCTTAACTAACTGTATCAAATGAAACTGGCGAAAGAATAAAAATTTAAGGTGTATTCAATAATCAAAATATTATCATTTGCGTAATGCAGTGTACTGGTTTGGTTTCTGTCATTCAACTAGGTTATCGAAAAGTTAATTCGTGATTTCATTAACATCTTACACAAACGTTCTAGAAATTGTAACAATAATTTTATGGGTTTCGTTCAAACTACTAACAATTATTTGTGTTAGAGAAATCAAGATGTATCTAATGATTGGGGGTTCAATACAAGCCAGCGATATTACGGATCGATAGACAACGATTGAGTTACTCTAATAAGATCGATTTTCTTGAAATTGACAATGGAACCGCACACACAACACATCACTACCCGACAGCCAAGGTGTGAGAACGGGGCAAGCAGTACAAAACGAATTGGCTCAAATTTTGCAACCGATTTACGAGATATAACTTTCAAGTTTACAGGAACTGAATGAACTACAAACGATAACAACAAATCAGAAAACAGGGGTCATATTAGAAACTGAACTAGAAAAATTGAGTGGACAGTATATTTGATTAATACTGACTAAACTATTTCTTAGTCAGTAGGTTTTTGTTACATAACTTATCAATGATACGATAAATTTGAACATTAGTAACGCTTTCCGTCGTGTCGTATCAGTTATATTGATTACCCTAGTGTGAAACAGTTGTTACATTTTAGGAGAAAAACATCGTTAAAGCTTCGTAATTATGGGAAATTTCTATAAACTGAGATTATCTATGACTGAATGCCAGTGAAGTAAGTATACCAGTATTTATTGGGCTTAACCCATCACTTCAAGGTATTGAATTTGATTACCAGCGTGGTAATAGATGCATATTTTTAAAAAGTTTCAAATTAGGATAAACTGATAATCAGTTATAATCTTTATGAATTGTTCCATCGATATCAATTTATAATGCCAAAAACTTGTTTACATGAAAATAATTTCTTCATATCCTCGCACAAGTATTTACAATAATCAAGAGATATAATTTGTTGTATGGAGTTTATGTGAAAACTAAATGCTTTTTAGATAATGCATCAGTGAATTTCTTTTTTATCGTTTTCAGTATGAGTGTGTAAGTGAACAGTTAACTAACCTTAACAGCTAACCAACTGAATAAAAATAGTAGCTCTTAACTAGGGAATTTCAACAATGCGGAGATTTGAGAAGAAATATATAATCATACCGAAAGATTGTCCTACTATATCATGTATTAACTGAGATTGGGATTATGGATTACTGGATTACAGCTAATAGGTTTAAAGATGATAGATTTCGCTCAAAACCTCTAAAGTCACATCCCTAGGTAGGTTATGAGCGTACGCTGCTAAACTTCGACAAACATCCACATGTACCAGGTGTTTCCTACATCACTAGCTGTAATCATGTTGTGACGAATACCTATCTACAATTACATAAAACAATATAATGTAAACATGATACATACCATTCACTTGCCAAATATTTTGTTCAATAGCATTAACACGTAATAAATTTTCATTTACATTATGATAAGTTTCACTTTCATCATGATTATTCATTCCAACATGATTGTGAGCTTTTTTCATATTTGTCTCTGTAAATATTGGTTTATTACTTTTTACACAAGACTGCTTCAAACATGTTTGACAAATACGTCGTTGTGTATCACAATGTATATCTTTTAAGTAAGATTGACTTTCAACTATGTGTTCTTGAAATAATTTATTAACCAATGGTGAGTTGATTGTACAATAAAAACTATTCAATTGTGATGGTAGATATGAAGCTTTCTAAAATATAAATCAATAAAGAAGTATCAATAGTATAAAAATGAACTGCTAATCATTAGTTGAGTTTTTTTTATATTAAACAACACAAAATCTGAATGCAACTAGTTTTAAGCATCAAGAAAAAAAACCACTAAAGTATTTAGGGATTCATGCAGAATGTTGCATTCTATGTTGTAAGATGTTTAGATGTTTCTAATTATTCTAAAGAAAAAACCATGGACACTGATGACAGCTATGAATTTTCAGATTATAAACAATCATCGGAAACGTTTACCTAAGTGACTTAATTGTACAATGTATAACTTAGTGCTCATTAGAGCTACCTATATGAATAGGATGTTGAGTGACAGTTTTACAAGTTTTTAAGCGAATAAAAATGGTGAGTGAAATTCGATCGTTTGAAAATTGAATTAATTACGCTACAATCAAATTATTGTTCTTGAAGAAATTCTATATTACTGTAATCAAATAGTAATCTTTATAACAAACCAAATAAAACGCAGAATCTTCACAAGTTCTCTAGACTTGTTATTATTATAAAGATTAATTTATCCTTTATTCATCGAGCAAGCTTTTACAAGTCCTCCTGTTTTTAACTGACTAATCACAAAATTCACTCACTAAGTTTGTTTGCTCAATCAAGTATCTAAAATTTACATGTCATGAATTGAAGTTGTATGCAACCTTATTTCTCTCACTATAAGGATATGGAGATTGCTGAGTTACGTTAAAATCATGAATCTATCATTGTTAGTCTGTTGTCAGAAACCTGGAAGCGCAAGATGGCCGTTTCGTATTAGTATGGGACTCACCAGCAGTGCGTATCCACGATCCCCACTTCCGAGAATCAAACCCAGGAAATTATGTCACGCGAGCGAACGTAACTCCAAATTTGAAAAGTGTCATTTATTTCATGAATTATTTTTAGCTACTTACAATGCATGAACAGTAGTATTTATAACTTTGAAAACAAAACAGTAGTCTCGATTAAAATTTTGCTTGACAGACAGATGTAGATTAATAATAAAGAATAATTTTATAAAAGAATTAAAAAGTTTTTTAAATAGTCATTTATTTTTTGGCTAACTATTTGAATACTGTAGAGCAAGATATTTAAAAACTACATACAAAGCTTCAGTTGAATGTTCTAAGACATGTGGAGACTCATACTTTTTCATAAATATCCAGTGTACTCTCTTTGCCACGTACATGTTGACTGATAGGTGCAACTGGAGTAAATAAGATTTAGACGTCCATCCATACTTGTCATTAGCCAGTTTTAGAATGAGTATGTTTACCGCTGTTAGTCCTTCTTAGTAAAGTCTTTAATCCGAAAACAATTTTTTCAGCCATTTCATCAATTAACAAGTAAATGTTAAGGATAATAGGTCTTTTCTAGACTGCGATAATCTATATTTTTTCCATTCTGGCTATCCAGTACTAAAGGAATGAAATTTCGAGGATAACTGTTATCACGTGAAAAACATTTAACTACGTTTGCACACAACATTTATTTTTCTAAATATATAATTTATGTACGTGGTTGAAAAATGACAGCCAAGTATATTTTATACCTAACTGAATGAAAACTATTTTAGTTCAAGAACACAGACCATTTCATTAATCATTTTAATAATAAAATGTAACTATTTTCGTCATATCATCAGTAAACTCATTATTCAACGAAAAACCTTCAAATTATATGCGCCAGCCAGAAGATTTATATATTTAAACGAAAATTAACAGCCGCTTCTTTTTCGTATGGAATCTTATTGAAGAACATGAGGAAAAATTAAAACGTACAATTTTAAAGCGTACAATCTGGCGAATAAAGATATTCTTATTTCCAGTTACATGTATCACGTAACTAAACAATTCAATAACTAAACTATTTTATTGTTTATTTAAAATAATAATATCTTAAAAAAATATAAAATCTTTGAAAATTTAAACACAGCAGTAGTGCTACTTAACAAATTGTATTCTGAAAGCACTTATTTTACTAAACGTATAAGCTTATTTCATTGCATTCATGTAAATGTCAAATTAAGTGCAATTAAATAATTGTCATTTATTTTAAATTTATTTTATTTTCTGATAAGAAGCTTAATCTTTAAAATATAACGTTCAACCGCCAATAAACATGACTATTCAATGTACAATTTAGTGCCTAGTTTATTGAAATTTTCTTTTGCACAAAAATGAATTATTTGTATGAACGTTTACGTTCATTTAAGAATGTTCAATCATTAGATATCTTTAATTTCCAACTGTGTAAAGACAGTTTTTTTTTCCTGTCGACCATCTATGAATTTTTACAGAAACCAGAAAGAATTCTTGAAATAGATTTTGTGATAAGGCCCAGTTAAGTTTAAATATCATGTTTGAAAGAAAAAAAAACTCTGAACACAAGTAATTTCTTATAGATGAAACTGAAAAGAACATGAATCTTTTTCATCATATAAAGCAAGTAACATGCATTCCACTAAGAAAACAGCGTTCATGCAAGCATTTCAAATTTTATCCATTCAAATGCATTGTTTTAATTGAGCATAAACTAAGTACTTTTAGTATCATGACAAATGAAACTTGTAACAAAAAAAAGTCAATTTTCAATAAATAATCTTTGTTTTAGCAAACAAAAAATGTGAGCAAAACATGTTCACAGCATTCAAATGAAATTTAATATCTGAAACAACTCACATCTGAAATCAGTATGGCATTGTGAAGCTAAAGTATTCGTACATACATAAATAAATATTGAAAATGTTATTTTCATTGAATAACTCGAATTTGTTTTTATGTATGGGAATTCTTGTTTACAATAATAGTTAGTGTCAGTTATGTTTGATTTGATATCAGTTGCCTGGTTGTCATGAACTACATTCCTATGTAAAAAACCAAAGAATGTTACTTGCTTTATTTACTTACTTACTTTGGTGGAGCATAGATCATGAACTACTATTCTCCAACCTACTCTGTCCTGGGCCTTCTTTTTCTCTTTTATCCATTCTTCTTAAGACTGCTTCCAATTCTCCATGTATTGTATTCTTTGGTCTTCTTCTTTTCTATTGGCCCTGAGGGTTCAAGGTGACGGCTTGTCTTGTGACGCAGTTAGTTGAATTCCTCAAAGTGTGTTCTAGTCACCTCAAGAGCCATTTCCCAATTTCTTGTTCTGCTGGAATCTGGTCTGTTCTCTCTCACAGGAGATTGTTGCTGAAAGTGTCTGGCCAGCGTATCCGAAGTATTTTGCGTAGACAACTGTTAATAAACACTTGTATCTTGTAGATGATGGCTTTCGTAGTTCTCCAAGTTTTCGCTTCATACAATAGAAGTGTTTTGACATTTGTATTGAAAATTCCTACTCCGGTGTTATTTGATGCTTGTTTTGAGTTTCGGATGTTCTTCAGTTGTAGAAATTCTGTTTTAGCCCTGCCAATCAAAGCCTTCACATTTGGATCAGATCCACCATGCTCATCAATGATGCTGCCCAGATATGTGAAGGTTTTTACATCCTTCAGAGAATGTTATTCCCATGTAAGCAGATTGTATTCTACTGTGTTTAATCTAACCTAATATATGTTCAAGCATTTCTCTACTCCACGACATTTGCGTTTTCAGAACATATTAAAACAAAGTACCATAAATATTCCTCTTGATTCAAAAGCTATCTCAGCTAAAAGTACGCGTCATGTAAATATATACACACGTTTTTGTTTGAATATGAATTTCTTAGAATCACCATTTTGATTTGGCTGGACAGTAAGGAAAGTTTTCTAACTCAGTCAATGAAATTCAAATCATATGAAATATTAAAACACAAAATCAAGAAATATTCACGGAATTCTCAACTCTAAATGTAGTATGGGAAACATTTCCCATATAGTTACATTTTTGTAACATAGCAGATGACTTGTGAAGAAAACCTAATGTGTGTTTTGTCACAGCACCCACAGCTAAGATCAAATGGACAATTGGTCTTTCAAATTATCTCCTCTAGATATTATTCGATGACAGTTATGATCTTTATAGACTGTCAACTTGAAAATAGCCATTATAAGTCTGAGCTGTAAGTTTGCATTTTAAATTACTTCAGAGAAGTTCGCCCTGGAAGTAATTATGAAATACGCTATAGTAGTATGGTCGAGGATCTGATTCATTATAAATGTTACATTTTAATAACTTGAAATTTTACACTTTAATCTCTCAGAATATCTTCATCAACTGAATAACAATTGGTAAGCTTCTTAAAATAATGTAACCAAATTACAAGTCGATGGATGTAAACACTCCTATTAAAGTTAGCATTAAGTAGACGTAGAAGGAACTCAGATGCAACCAATTCGAATAGATTATTCTTCAGTTTTTTTTAAGGTGTTGAACCCGAAAATTTAAATCACACCTCTACATACCATGTGAACAGCTTTCAGATAAAAGCATCGTCCGAATTATCATCACTCATCTATATACAGATTAAAACTGAGCACAAATTTTTTGGTTTTAATGTTACAAGAAGCAAAATCACACAGCTGAGAAGATACGGTAAAAGTGAACATTGATTTTTTTCATAGTTTCTATGTGATACATATCTATAGTTACTTACTTACGCCCGTTACCCCTAGTGGAACATCAAACAGACAGACACATATATAACGCAGAACTTCGTACATAAGTACATCAGTTCAGGTTGCCATGCCCCATCAGCACAGAGACGCAACTGTCAGTTCAAATCCAACAGTGATAGGAATAATAGAAGTATTAGCAGTAATGGAGAAGATTAGGGAGCGAAGATATGATTCGAGAAGTATAATTCAGTAAGATAAATTTGGAAGGAGAAAGGTAGAGATTATGAGGAATGCAGAAGCTTAGAATTTCACAGAACACAAAGAGTGGATGCACCTGCGCCACTGCAAACGATTCTCAGCCATGTCATTCAAGGTCTCTAACCATCGGTAACTATCGTCTCGCGGACCCAAACCAGGTAGTCTACATCTACCAAC